TTTCATGAATACATGGGCAAATCAAACGAAGCGCACACGCGCGAGTCGTCGCGCGCGCATGCCGAAATCCTTTGAGAACCTTCGGTGTCGGAAGGATTTCAAAAACGAGTGTCCAAAACACATATACAAACACAGGGTTTCGCAACACGGCTTTTCAACTGAAAGCGTGCGCGTTGCTTGCTTTTTTAAAAACAAAACAAGTTCTCAACATCCTCATAGAATGTTACCAAGCGGGCTTCGCGCGCGCATGCCGAAATCGTTCGAACGCCCTTGCGCGCGTGCTGGGATGGCACGATCCGTATCATATGATACTCGCGCGTCTGCCGCGCGCGCATGTCGAACTCCTTTCAAAACCTTCATCACCGACGCGAAGACGCCGTCATCGTCGTCGGCGTGATCAGCATCGGCGCCGTCACTGGCTGCCCCGTCGTCGCTGCCAGCATCGGCACCAGCATCGCTACTATCATCATCGTGTCTGCCGTCGTCGACGTTGCCATGATACCGCGCCCGCCCAAGTCGCCGACTGGCACTGAAGTGCCCGCTGGAATGAGCCGAGCGGTGAGCGCCACCGCGTTCGCGTCGGTCGCACCATACTAGCTGGCCGCTGCGCGCGCGAGCATGCGCGGGCTAGCGCGGCCGCAGAGATGCACCAGCCAACACCAAGCACTCATCGCAGTCGCTTCCGCATAGGTTTTGCAAACCAGGTTGCGGGTGGGTAGGTGGGATGATTGCGCGAGCAGTGCAGTTGACAATTTCGAGTTCGGCAGGTGAACTGCACCACATAGATTGCGCCACATTGATCGCACCAAATAGATTGCACCACGTAGATTGCACCACATAGATAACACCACATGAATTGCTCCACGCAGATTGCACCACATAGATTGCACCACAGATCTAGAGATACATTGAAACCACGCGCGCTTCGAGCGCGCGAAGGTTCTAGCAAGCTCTAATTGCAGTGCAAAGCGTTCGGCATCGGAGGACACAAATTGTCACGCCGATCGTGCACCTCAGGGAGCTCCAGCTTGGCTTGCAGTCCCACTGCCCATGTCGGCACACACACCTCACAAGGATGGCGCCCCACAAAGATCTCAACCTACGCCCCCAGCGACAATAGTGGCACGCCCATCACGCGAATCGCGCTCCACATAGGTATATGTATACGCACATGTATATACATATGCATATGTATAGTATGGATGCATGTGTGCATGTGTATGTGTGCATGTACGTGTAAGTGTGTACGCATATGTATGTGTATGCATACATGTATGTGTGTATGTCGAAGGTGAGGGGGAGGGGGTGAGATCGAAGTGGAACGGAGAGCCCCCCTACCGGGAAATCGATTTCGGTTTCGTGTTCGTGCGTGCCGTGCGTGCGGGCGAGGCGAAGCTGCGTGGGCGGGCGAGAGAAAGTCTCCTGTGGCTGAGGCGCGGCCGGACCAAATGATTCCCTTCCGGGCGGCCGGGGCCCCGCGGTGTCCCGCCGGTGTCCCGCTGGTGTCCCGTGTGGCTGAAGCGTGGCCGGACCAAATGATTCCCTTCCGGGCGGCCGGGGCCCCGCGGTGTCCCGCCGGTGTCCCGTCGGTGTCCCGTCGGTGATGATGATGATGATGATGATGATGATGATGATGACGATGAAGATGATGATGTTGACAATGATGATGATGATGGTGATGATGATGGTGGTCATGATGGTGAGTTCGGTAGTGAGATCGATAGTGAGACCGAATGTGAGATCGATTGTGAGATCGATTGTGATATCGATAGTGAGGTCGATAGTGAGACCCAATGTGAGATCGATAGTGAGATCGATAGTGAGTTCGATAGTGAGATCGATAGTGAGACCGAATGTGAGATCGATTGTGATATTGATTGTGATATCGATAGTGAGATCGATAGTGAGATCGAACGAGAGGTCGATCATGACTTCGATAGTGAGTTCGATAGTGAGATCGATAGTCAAATCGATTGTGAGATCGATTGTGAGATCGATTGTGATATCGATAGTGAGATCGATAGTGAGACCGAATGTGAGATCGATTGTGAGATCGATTGTGAGATCGATCGAATGAGATCGATAGTGATATCGGTAGTGAGATCGATCGTGAGACCGAATGTGAGATCGATCGTGAGATCGATAGCCAGATCGATTGTGAGATCTATTGTGAGATCGATTGTGATATCGATAGTGAGATCGTTAGTGAGATCGAGTGTGAGATCGATAGCCAGATCGATTGTGAGATTGATCGAATGAGATCGATAATGAGATCGATAGCGAGATCGATAGTGAGATCGATCGAGTGCGACGGTGGTCCCCCCCCCTCGCCTCCTTATCACCCGAAGGGTGGTCTATGCGGTATACGTATAGGATGTGTAAATGTATGCGTGCATGCGTAGTTGTGTCTATATGAATAAGGATGTGCACTGTATATACATATGTACATGCATATGTATAGACATATGTAGGTGCACGTGTACGTGCATGTGTATACGCATGTGCACATGCAAATGAATATGAGGATGTGCGTGTTTATGCAGTTGCGTATGTATATGTATGTGTACACGTGCATGCGAATGTCTGAGTAGGTGCCGATGTAAGTGTACATGACTGTGTAGAAATGTGTCCCCATGTACATGAATATAGGTATGCGTATGTATATGCATATGTACCTGCACAGGCATCTTAATAAAATAAAAAACATGCTAGAACCACGCGCGCGGTGCGCGGTGCGCGCTTAGGTTCTAGTCACAGCTGCGCCACGTTTTACGGCTCTCGCTTTCGCTCGGCTGATCGGCGGCATTACGAAGTCTTCGGCACCCTCCCCCTTCCCCTCCCTCGTCATCGTCATTCTCCTCATCATCCTCCTCCTCCTCCTCCTCCTCCTCCTCCTCCTCCGCCTCCTCCACGTCCTCCTCCCCCCCGTGCTCCTGCTCCTGCTCTTCGTTTTCACTCCTCGTCACTCCGTTTTCACTCCGCTTCGTCCTCCTCCTCTTCCTCCTGCTGTTCCTCCTCCTTCTCCGCCTTTCCCTTCTTTCCCATGTCCTGCTCCTCCTCCTCATCATCATCATCATCATCCTCATCCTCCTCTCCTCCGTTAGCAGCTGCTCTTCTTTCTCCCTCATTCTCCTCATTCTTCTCCTTCGCCCGGATGTTCCCAGAGAGGTCTCCAGGAACATATGGGCAGCTGTTCTCCACCGCCCTGGCAGGGATCGTGGCCTCAAGGGAGCTCCACCTACAGGCCCAGAGATAAGGTTCGCATGGCGTCTTCACGTCCATTTCGGGACACCTCTCACACGGATCGTGCCCCATAGGGAGCTCCACCGACGGCTCCAACAGGAGGGGTCGCTTGGCGCCCCTCCGCATATTTCGGCACTGCACACCACTGACGCGGATCTTATCCCGCAAGAATCTCCAAGTCTGGCACCCATGGGAAATTTCGCATGGCGTCCCCACGCCCGTTACGGCGCCGCTACACGCGAATCGGGCTCCACAAGGAGCTCCACATACGGCCTCAGTGGGCGCACTCGCGCGGCGGCCACCCCCATCACGTGGATCACGCACCACAGGGAGCTCAGCGTGCCTACGCGGGCTAGCTCTGCAGCGACCCTCTATACAGTCTACCCCGCATCGCGCAGTATTTGAAGAGAGAGCCGCGCACTGCGCTACACGCAGCTGCATATGGGCGGGCCTTTCGCCAGACCAAATGATTGACATAAAATCGAGCACGCACACATATATAAGTACGCACATACATGCTTATACATACAGATAGAAGCAAAACCTGTGCCGATCAGGCGGCGCCCCAGGAACGGGCACAGGTTGTGGACTGGAGGCCTCTTGTAGATGCTTACTCAATTTGGGAAGTCTCTCAGGGGCCCTTTGGGTGCCTGTCGGGGGTCTCCTGGGGGCTTCCTGGGGACCTCCTGGGGCCTCTTGAAAGCCTCTTGGGAGCCCCTTTGGGGCCTCTTGGGGCCTCTTGGGAGCCTCGTGGGGCCTCCTGGGGGCTTCCTGGGGGCTTCTTGGGGCCAAGGCTCGAAACTTGAGCTTGGTTTTCCCCCACTGGTACCCCTCTTGGGCCTGTCCTGGGGCTCTTGGGCTGTCTGAGGGAGCCTCCTGGGCCGTCTTGGGCCCTTCTTGGGCTGTCCTGGAGCTCTCTTGGGGGCCTCCTGGGCCGTCTTGGGAGCCTCTTGGGCCGTCGTGGACGCTGTGAAAGCCCAAGAGGCGAATATGCCCCAAAAAATACGCATTCCCACGGGAATGGAACGGTTTCTGCTTCTTGGGGCCCTCTTGGGGGGCCTCTTGGGAACCTCTTGGGGCGTCTTGGGGCGCCTTGGGCCGTCGGGGTGTCATCTGGGGCCGTCTTGGAGCTCTCGTGGGACGCTTCTGGGGGGCCTTGAGGGCCAGTCGCAGGCTATTCCTGGGCGGCCTTGGAAGATCATCGGGCTTTCTGGAACCTCCAGGGGTCGCGAGCTTATGGGGTGAAAGCCATGTGCGCCCGCAGCCCCCACCCAGCGCACGAGACGCCCACGAGACGCCCACGGGCCGCACCACGGGCGGCCGCCGCGCGAAACAAAAAACGCTTGGAGCCCGGGCAGCGAACGAGGCACCCACGAGGCGCCTGCTGGCGACCACCGCTCAGACACCCGGGGAGCCCTCCCGAGCATTCAAAGAGAGCCAGACAGAGCCCCCTGGTGCAGGGCACTGGCTCGGAAACGCGGACACTCACCTTCGCTACGAAGCCATACCGAGCCATGCCAACTCGCACTGAGCACTACACGCACACTTTGCTTCACATGGCAGCCAAGATGGTAGGACTTGGCAGCGAGGGCCCTCAGTTCCCATCCGACAAACATGTCCCCAACGTCAGTTTTATAAGCTCTGGTCACAGAAATGGCTGACGAGCTCGGTTGCAGGATGCTCCAGCACACCAACATTACTTCGATTCCATGGCAGGCTTGCTAGAGAATGCACTGGCTCCCTTCCCCCCCCTGACCGGGCCTTTGTCCGACACGGTGGCTTGCGAAGACAACCTGCGCTCAGGCGGGATCGGCAGCAATTACCCTTTCGTCTGCAAGCAAAAACGATGAGGAGTGCGCGGGCAGGAAAAAAAGAAGCAAGTCGAGTGGCACATCCTCAAAAGTCGACAGGCAAGGCGAACAACGGGTCGATAGAGCGGCAGCCAAGGAAACGGGACACAGGGGTGGCAGAGATTGCGCGAGCGACAAGGGCCATGGGGACTAGCAAAGGAAGCTGACGTGATACTCGGGGCACGGTGCAGGATGGGAAGGGAGGCGAAGAAGGGTAAAACGAAGAGGAAGAGGAGAAGGAGGGAGCAAGAGGGAGGAAGACAGAGGAGAGATGAGGGGAGGAGCACGAGCCCCTCTGGCCATCGCGCGCGGAGCACGAGCGTATATACCCCTGAGATTCGGCGTGGCGAAGAAATTGCAACATCGTGAAGCATCTACCAGAGCCCTGGACCCCATCTCTCTGCTGCATTTTTCGAGCCCGATCGATCCGCGACGGTCCCAGGCCCCGAAACCAAACAAAGTGGCCCGTTGCGAAAAAAGGCGCCGGCAGGATGTCAAGGGCCTGCCAGGCCCCCGAAAGCTGTGTGCTGCAGCGCCCGCCGCACACGACCCGCACAACCGGCACGACGGGACAGCGCGGCGCGCTCGGAGGTCGACGCCGAGCAGCCCCGCACTTCCACTTGCGCACGCGCGGCGCTGGCGCGGCGCGACCTTTTTGCTTGCTGCGGGCGCCCCCAGCGAAGTCTGGGTTCGTTTATACGCGTGCACGGGGTGTGCGCCCCTCCCTCCCCCGAAACGGCCCGGGGGCACCCGAGTGAGTTCCCCCCGCCCTCCTCCTTCTCCTCCTCCTCCTCCTCCTCCGCCTCCTCCTCCTCCGCCTCCTCCTCCCACTTCTCCGCATCGTTTACGTGAAGTGCTCACAGCTGACCAGGCGCTCCTCTGTTAGGACTCTGCGGGGCAGCTTTACGCTGGTGCGGCGAGACCGCCGAGCGCCACTCAGCCGCACTGGGGCCCCCGCGGCCACTCCCAGAGTGCCACCTTCCCAGTACCTGGTGAAGGTCCCACTGCACGTCGTGGCACCTCCCTGAGGCCGAACGACGGCAAGACAGAAGGCTGCCTCCAAAAACCTGACCAGTGCTCCGACGCTGAGTTTTGGACCGGAATTGTCAAGGCTTCCACGGCTTTGGTTGAAGTGCACGTCGCTCTGTCTAAACGGTCACGAAATTCCATTCCCAATTCTGAGCTGAAAGGCAAGGACACAGACGTGGTACCTCCAGGTACTTCATACTAACATGGTATCCCAAAAATGCTTTCGCATGAAGCAATCCCAAGCATTACGATGATTATGTGCCTGTGTGAGTTCTGAACCCCTTGGCAGAAAACCCTTCAACCACTCAACAGCACGAGATGTTGCGCGCGATCCAGGTCAAGACAGCAAGCATGTGTACTTACAGCACTGGTACCCGTGGGAGAATGAACGACAAAAATGACCAAAACATTGCCGACAAGAAATAGCGTAGGCCCTGCATGTGTGCAGGCGACTCGCTTCCACGCCAGCTCAACTGTAAGCTAAGTGTTCGTTCCTCCTGCGAATTTCGCAGGCTGCCCACTGACCCCTGCGTAGTATCCCCCATAACGTCATCCGCACGACTACGACTGCTTGTTAGTGAGGCTGCCATTGCGGACGACACGCGACCCATCCACACAATAGAAGCGAGCCCGGCGTGCACGGGCAGGCTGTGTGGCCCACCGAAACAACTGACGAGTCTGACCGAAAGACTGGACTCGCAGGAATCCGAACGGACGACCTGGAGCAGCTAGAGACTCAATGAAGGGCGCAGGTGAAGAGAAGCGAATCATGTCGAAGGGAGCTGACTGGAAGGAATCAACAGAAAAGCGAAACTATCCCCTCCAAACGCCCGCGTCTAGAACCGAGGTTAAGCACAGAAGTCGAAAACGGAAGGCCCTCTCTTTAGATCCATCCTTACCTCAAGAGGCTACGCTTGGAGAACAGCTCGGTGTCCTTGCGCTACTTTCCGCTTGGCCATTTTGAAAGGGTCGGGGTCGACGTGATCTTCGTCGGGGCTGGGCCGGGGTCAGATTCGTGGTCGGGGGCAGGGACGCGGCTACAATCGTGGGCACGCTCGGATTTGGGAGAGAGGGCGCTGATGACCGACAGCCCAGCTGCAACGAGGCCTCGGCAAAGACGCATCGGCAGCAGCACGCTAAGGCGACAAACCAGGAATGAAGGAGAGTGGAAGCAGCAGCAGAGCAAGCAACACGTTGAAAAGTCGGCTCTCACCGAGGACCCGCTTCGAGGCCGGGGCACGGGGCGCCTCCATGGGCAGCTTCGCCTTCTGGAGCTCGCGCCTCCAACGCATCCACGGCTTCGCCAGAAGATGGCCCTCACGAGGCCGCATGCTGACGAGCTCGAGACCTCCGCAGCCGGGGGCAGGGCCCCCTGAAGGAACGCTGCTGATGCTGCCTCTGCGCTTGCTGCTCCCGCTGCATCCGCAACTGCAGCTCCTGCTACCCCTGCTGCTGCCGCTCCTGTTACTGATGCTCCCGCCCCTTCCTGCTGCTGCGCGCGGCCGGCACACCCCACCGCCCGCCCCCTCCCCGCCCCACACCACGCTCCAAGGTAAATAGTGTTAAGCTCCTGTTTGTGGAGGCCTGAACGCCTGCAGCTCTGCAGGTGCGTGTGCACTTACAGAGGCCACCACTTGCAGAACCACCGTAAACAACAGCATTAGCTTGAAGGCAACACCGCTTGGGCTCTTGCAACCTGCTGTTCCTTCGCGCGCTGCTTCCTCCATGACACGTTTGGCTCATGCTGTCTTGCCCGCAACCATACGCCTTGCACGTGGTCGGCCTCCTGTTGAAGCCAGCCCGGGAATTCCGACTCGGGCAGACGCGGGTGGCGTCTCGGCGAGACACGACACGGCACACCTGCAATATCCCCCTCCGCATGCCCGAGCCACTGCCCCTGTTTCCAATTATCCCTTCTCCCTCCTCTCTCCTCCTTCCTCCGCCGACCTCCTTCCTCCCACCTCGTTCCTCCTCTTTCCCCCGTCAAGCCTCATCCATCATTCCAGCAGCGTTGGCCCACAGCCCCTTCGAGAGGCAACGAGCGCAGCGGGGAGGTCACAGCCCCGCGGGGCATTAGCTCATTGTGATAAACAATGGTCCTTCCTCTTACTCCCTCCTCCGTCATCATTTCCCCTGCGTCCTCCCCCCTTTTCCTCCCTTCCTCCTCCCTCCTCCTCCCTCGTTCCTCATCCTGCTCCTCCTCCTCCCCCAACTCCTCCTCCTCATCCTCCTCCTCATCATCATCATCATCATCATCATCGTCATCATCATCACAATCATCATCATCAGAATCACCATCATCATCATCATCATCATCATCATCATCATCATCATCATCCAGCAGCAGCAGCTGCAGCAGAAACTGTATCTGAATCATCATCAGCAGCAGCCTCATCATCATCATCATCATCATCATCATCATCATCATCATCATCATCATCATCATCATCATCATTGTCCTCATCATCAGCATCATCAGCATCACCAGCATCATCATCACCATCACCATCATCATCAGCATCATCAACATAATCGTCATCCTCATCATCATATTCATCACCATCAGATTATCATTATTCGCTTATTCTTCAGCATCATCATCATCCGCAGCATCATAAATGACCCCAGTGCGGCCCTACCTAGAAGTTGGAGCCCCTAGGAAAGCAGCATTAGTTGCTATGCTATGCCATGCTATGCCATGCTATGCTGCGCTATGCTGCGCTATGCTATGCTATGCTATGCTATGCTGCGCTATGCTATGCTATGCTATGCTATGCTAAGATGTGCTATGTCATGCTGCGCTGTGCTATGCTAAGCTGTGCTATGCTATGCTATGCTAAGCTGCGCTATGCCATGCTATGCTATGCTATGCTGCGCTATGCTATGCTATGCTATGTTATGATTGGCTATGGTATGCTATGCTATGCTAATGCAGCGCTGCGCTATGCTAAGCTAAGCTAAGCTAAGCTTGATTTGCCTTTGCTTTGCTGCTATGCTATGCTATACTCTGCTATGCTATGCTTTGCTATGCTGCGCTGTGCTATGCTGTGCTGTGCTGTGCTGCGCTATGCTATGCTATGCTATGCTGCGCTATGCTATGCTATGCTGGGCTATGCTATGATATGCTGTGCTGCGCTATGATATGCTACGCTATGCTATGCTGTGCTCTGCTTGCTAAAGCTCCGCGAAGCTAAGATGAAGGTAAGCTAAGCTATGATAAAACTGAGCTAAGATGGAGCTAGGCTAAGCTAAGATGAAACATGCTAAGCTAAGATGAAATAAGCGACGCTAAGCTAAGGGGACGTAACTGGGGGAACCGCGGGGCGGATCCTGGGGGAACCGGCCGGGGCGTTTTCCACTGCCCG